CAGCGGGGAGCCAAGCGCCCAGCTCCGCTGCCACCTGCTCTCACCTGTGCTGGAGGCCACCAGTGACCCCAGAACCAGCTGGGCCTACAAGGGCTTTATGTGGACTAACCTATGRCATAAATCAGGCTGTTATGGATAGCACTGCTGTTTATTTTGTGATTATAACATCACAATCAATGGGTAAAGAAGACCTCATGATGACTATATACTGGCAAATTTCAGGGCACAGAACCACCTGGTTTCTTTTGTGCTCTGCTAGCAGTCTGCTTTGCAGRCCAGGCACGCTGCGTTGCCCACCAGGCCTGAGTGCTGTGGCATCTCTGGCAGCACATTGGCCTCCACCCAGAGGGAATGGCCCAGCAGAAAGGGAGGGCATGCGAAGGAGCTGGATCCAGTTGTCCCACAGCACTGCAGCCCTTCGCTGGCTGCTTGAGGTGTCCTAGATCTCACATGGTCCATGAGGACAGACTCCAGCAGAGCAGGGGCAGGAAGAGGGATAGGCCAAACCCTGGGAGATATTGGGCTGTTTGCTATGAGCACAAACAAGCCCAAATCTTCTGCCCTCAGCGATCCACCAAAGCCAAAAGCAAATACCTCAGTTAAGCACTGGCAGGAGGAACTGCAGACTTATTTTTGAAATGACATGAAGGGGATTATTCTCCCACCCCCTGCTGTAAAGGGAGGTGAGAAGGTCACAGTAAACCTGGTATTACAGCTCTTTTTTAATTTTCCACTTCATTTTTCCCCACACTACATCAGCTGGCCAGCTTTTCTTTCAGCATTTGCTTTGATTAAGCAAAGAAATTAAACTTAATTCTGTGGCATTCTGCCACCCTCACACACGGATCTGTAAAACTGAAATTCAGTAGCTGTTACCAAATTCTGTAGAAATAAATAAAGAAGAGAAGGTGGCTACACGCCTGTCTTGTAGCTGTTGCATGTTATGTAGGCAAATCTGCCTTAGCAACTCTGTGACAGCTCTCTGCRTGGAAACGTCCTCTGCTTTTGATACCATAAGCACAGGATTGTGATAAGATTGTCTAATATGGTCTCAGCTTACACAGAGGAAAAAAAAACATTTTCGGAACATTTAAAGGGAAATTGTAAATACGAACTAAAGCAATACTGTCTTTCTTTGTCTGCAGAGCCACCTGTGTCAGAGATGTTGCACAGGTGCATCCAGGTGACCTTCAAACATCAAGGATTTTCTACCTACCCCAAGGCCTCCTCCCCTGCTCTTTGTTGTTGGATTTATGGTAGAATTTATGCTGGATCAGAGGGAGGTTAGCAGGGAGAACTGAGAACTGACAGCAAGTCTTGAATAGCCCCTGTGTGTTGATAAAACTTGGTTGGATCGGATGGGAGAGCAATACGGATCATCAAGGCTCTGAATAGCCAAGGCTTGCACAGCCCTACCAGCAGGAGACGGAAATGTTCTTCACAGAATCACAGAATCACAGAATATTTAAGGTTGGAAGGGACCTCTAGAGATCATCTAGTCCAACCTTCCTGCTCAAGCAGGCACAACCAGAGCATGTGGCACAGGGCGGCATCCAGGCGGGTTTTGAAGACCTCCACAGAAGGAGACTCCACAACCTCCCTGGGCAGCCGGTTCCACTGCTCTGTCACCCTCACAGTAAAGAAGTTCCTCCTCACCTGGAGACAAAACTTCCTGTGCTCCAGCTCATGGCCATTACCCCTCGTCCTGTTGCTGGCCACCAGTGAAAACAGCCTGTCCCCTTCCTCCCTGCATTCTCCCTTCCTGWACTTATACACGTTRATCAGATCCCCTCTCGGATCTTCTGGAGGAGAAGCAAACGCTGCCTCTACAGAGTGTCCTGCGGCACTTCAGGTCCATGAGCCCTCCTGGCCGCGGCCCCCGCAGCTGCTCGGGCCGCACGGGCAGCACAGAGCGGCCATCGGGGCCTTAAACCCACGGCCCGCCCGGTGCTAGTAAAAGCTGTGGCAACATCAGCCTTGCCTGAGAGGGATTGTTTCCAGCGCCGTTTCCTGAGGAAACAGGACTTATCTGTTGATTCCCCAAACAAGTTTAACTCTGATATTTGATACAGGTGCAAAGGTCCCTGAGCTGTGAAGGTCCTAGGTACGTGTGAGTGGCTGGTACTGAGAGTYTAAATTATGAATGCCCTTGGTAAGGAAAAGGCAAACAGAGCCCTGTTGTCTTAGGTTGCTTTGGCACCTGGTTGCTGGCGAGTGAGTTTGTTGGCTGTGCAGGCCAGCCATGACCTGAACCATCTTTTGTCTGCTACGGGTGGCCTAAGAGCTGCACAGGGAAGCAGGCAGGGCTGGGGTGGAGATTCTGTTTAGACAACACAGAGGGCAAGGCTAGAGGAAGCCAGGCTGCTTAGTTCCAGTTCTTGCAGAATGACTGGTTTCGAGGTGTCATGGTTTCGTCCATTCTTGTGGAAATCAGGCCTTTGTGCTTTYAAACTGATTTCTGATGGCGCATTTGGGTTTTCGCTCTTCACTCCTTAGAACCTGCTGCCACCTGAGCACGTAAGGTACCTCACGYGCTGCATTGCTACGTGCCCCACAGCTGGGGAAGGGCAGGGTGGGCAGGCAGTAACTGCCGGGCACAAAGCGGTGCTGCCCGGCTTGGCTCACAGGGGACCAGGGTCAGGATCTGCCCCTGGTGAGATGAACACAGGGCTGTGGCAAACGCCAGGAGACATGGGCTTGAGGAGACACAGAACAGAGAACGCCRAGGGACAGGGGTTAGAATCATAGAATCCTTAAGGGTGGAAGGGACCTCTAGAGATCATCTAGTTGAACCCCCCTACACACGCAGGGTGACCTAGCGCACGTGGCACAGGCCATGTGTCCAAGCAGGTTTGAAGATCTGCAGAGAAGAAGACTCCACAACCTCTCTGGGCAGCCTGTTCTAGTGTCTTGAGGAGGTGAAGCAGTACAGCAGGAAGGCCACAACTGGCAAGTGAAAGCAGGTGGTGTTAAAGACAGGTTCTGAGGATAGTTACCACCACCCCAGCTTGCTCTCGTTTACACACATGCTGTAATTATTTATGGAATTGGCTACTTTAGCATCTGGCTCATTAGACACCCTKCAATTAGCTCATTCCATTAGTTTTTGTTATCCAAAACTATATCCCTCTGTTTTCACAGAGACTGCAATGTCCCTTCTTTACACATATCCTGAGAGAGCTGCAGATTGCAGAGGCAAAAGTCTCCTGCTGTACTCTGGAATGTCTCWTATTCATGGAAGGAAAATTTGCATGTTATAAACTTAGAAAAACTAATTTAATACATGAAAAAAGACCTTTTCTAAACCTTTAAAACTTCCTTATTGCTCAGAGACACAAATATGGAAGAGCTGGAAATGCCATGTGATTTATTGAATTTAGAAACTTGAACACAGGCCACAAGAATTACATGTCATGACTGCACATTAATAAAAAAAGTGAAGCCATTTAGTTGGAATTACAATCACACAAGCTACTTGTGGAACAAACCAAACGATACGGGAGCCAAGTGAAGTCAACCCATTTCAAACACASACTAGAAAGCAAGAATGAAGAAACATTTCTATGAATTCCTAGAGTTTCAGATTCTTGTAATTACGTCCTAAACCATGTAACATGGATATGTTAGCTACACTAAAATGTTAGATAAATGACCTGGAAAAATAAAATGTAGCAAGGATGTKTGTATAGTGTGGAGAAGGCTGGGATTCAAGGGATAGAACTGTTTAGACAGGACATTTTTAGATTAATTTATCATTCACCTATAACAAAATATACTTTTTGCAGAAGTCCTTTTAAACTGAAAGGTTTTTAGAGCTTATTAAACCCTTGTGGGTAGCAGCTAATTAAAGGCATATATCTAAAGGCAACTCAGGGCATGATTTTAACATGGAAATGTTTCTGAATGAGGATGCTAGCCTGAACATACAGTTTTATGGTGTATTCGCTGGTGAAAGTCCCTTGCTGAATCATCTAAAGAGATGTAACAGTTGTAAAAACAGAAATCTGTGTTTTAGGGTGATCACTAACCGAAAAACATGTCATTTAAAAATAAAAAATTATTAAGATTTTTCAGAGATATGAATGGGAAGTATACACCTTATTCTAAGATGTTTTGAAGGCCATTCATAATCTCTCTTAACACTTAATAAATGGCACTTATATTTATTAAATTGGCTAAATTCCAATCAGTTAATTAGGGTGAAATGATTAGTTTCACTGTTAAATATACAGATAACAAAGCCAGAAAATTAGAGAGCCAGAGGATATAAGCATATAATAAACATACAGGCACCTGTGAAAACACTCAAAGGATAAGAACCATTACTTTTATTTCACTGGCTAATTCAGTACAGAGGAATTACTGTATTTTCCTTGACATCTCACATCAGATTACAGAACATCAGGAACAGAACAAAGATACCCACCATCTTCTCCCCTGCTCTGTCACTTGCATCTCTTCTGTATTGCTGCAATGCCAACTGTGTCTCMAATACACAGAGCTTTATTACATATATTCCACACCCAAGGAAAACTGTAAGTTAGGTAAATGCAAAGGGAAGAGATAAAAGTAGGTAATACTATGCCAATAAATAGAAATAAAAAATTCAAGTCAATGCCACTATAAGTAAGTGGCCTTTAAATGGTCCTCTTGAAATACTTGCTAGTTTAATTCAACACATCCTATAGGACATGAAATATGTTTACTAAACATATCTCAAAAAAAAAAAAAAAAAAGATTTCAGTCATTTTCAGAAACYTGAGGAGATGACCAACTCTCCTGACAAGTACATAAAAATTATCACCTCAAGGTGAACAGTCCATATCTTAGTAAATGCCCCTAAGTTTATTTTAATTATAAAATAACTTTACCTCTGACTGTTTATACTTTTTATGTTTATGCTTTTCCTTTTAGAGGGTTACAGCTTAGTRTTCACAAATTTAAAAATATTTTCTGCTACACAAAGATAAAACCTAATAATACAAAAATATAAAAATGTCAAAATCATCACACTACTATTCAAAAGTGTACTACAGTAAACCTGTAGATCAGAGGTGCTTTGCTCCTGGATATGACTTSCATGATTAGCTCCTCCTCTTCTTCCAACCTTGAACATTCTGTGATTCTGTGATTCTTAATCAATTAAATGAGAAATCTTTCATCCACCAAGGTTTTGGATGCCAAATTCTTCTGTCCAAATGTATTACGAATAAACCTAAATATCTAAGAATATTTTACAAATACTGTATTAAAAGTAGAATATTTAAAATGCCATATTTCAATATCTAACATAAAAACAACAAATTCATATAATCTGTAATTCACTGACATGTTCTTTATGATTTAGGTGCTTAGCTCCTCTGGTAATTTAAAAAATAATTCCACCCTGAAATATTAACTAACTGTGATTAATGTTGTCTGATACTTTTATTTTCTGTTGAAAGCTATTTCTGCCCTATTCATTCATGACATGTATGAGAACAAAACTAATCTCTCATAAAAGTCTACTTTACACACACACACAAAATCAAAAGGCGGCTTTATAAGCTCCAACTACAACCTACTGCTTACAGAGCTTAACTATCTAACAAATGATAGAAATTTCCATACCAACCCACACTTAAAAAATATGAGTTAGATTTTAATGTATGTATTTACCTCCTGTTGCAAGTATGTGAGAATAGCTGCTAAAACAAAACTTTGGGAAGCCAGATCCACAACAGAGAAAAACAGGATATCAAAGATGAGCAGTGTCGTCTCGTTGCCATAATAGAGAACATCAGTGAAAGAGTGTCTCTCATCTAGATGAACAAAATCGTTTTTTGAAAAAAAATTAAAAAGATTATTTCTGCAAAGTGCATCTTTATGAAGTTTGTCAATCCACACTGATAAAACTGTCAAAAAAGGAAAGCCTGAGCAAGAAAATACCATTAAAAAGTTGTGATACATTTAAGCAAAACTAATACTTTACTGGTAAAATAGCTTTATACTGAGAGAACACACACACATAAAAGCCATAAACCTCTATTCACTCAGACAAATGAAGCAGTTTGTTTAAAAAGAAAAGGCATAAATGGATCAAAGTTGCTTGGTGTTGAATATCTTAGTGCTAACTCTGTGCTAACTCTGGCCTCGTTCAACAAACTAATAAAAGGCATGCTTAGAGCCTTTTTTAAAGTGCAGCCTCAGCATTTAACATTATCTTTGCTAATTTGGTTAATATTTTCCCTGGAAACGTATCTTTTTTTTCCCTGGAAACCTATCTTTTAAGATTAAAATACCTAAGAAGGTTTGTAGCCAAACTACAAGCACCACCCTCAAAAGAGAAATACTTAAAGCAAGCAAATAGAGAAAAAAAAAAGACATTCTGTTCCTTCTCTAGGCTTCTTCAGAAAAACAGATGTGATGCAAGTTCTACTGTCAAAAGCATGTTTTCATTCCAGATTTGATGGGTCCCTTATTAACCTCGATCCATATCTAAACTGCTGAGAACTAGCACAACCTAAGCCCTCAAGCARTGTGTTTGTATCAGTGCTGGGAGTTATAACCTTTGCTGAACAGTGCATGGTTTGGGAATAACATCATTGTTTATCTGCATGTTTRTATGATACATGTAAACATGTACATTAATACATGATGTGTATGGGGTGTAATCATGTTTAATACACATCATGACTGCACACCTGACACTTGTATACACATATGTATACATAGCCGTATACAACTGAGGTTTGGAGTAAGGCTTTGGAGCGATGGGTGCTGAAAGATGCAGTCACAGACTTGGGMCACTGAAAGTCCTACCTGTAGTTTTAATGCAGAAACTGGTTATCTGGCCATTTTCATTACTAGAGTCCGTGTTTCATAACGGTATGGGTGGAGATCCCAAGCCTTTGATGAATTATGTGTAGCTGGTACTAGAACCGCCTAGGGCCACAGCTTCTACTTAGCTGTGGGCCATGTGCTGCATTCCTAACTGTATTTATAGCAAGGCATGTGGTTCCAGACAGGGCTCAGCTTTTGCAGCCTTGCTATCACAGAGAGGTCAGAGCAAGTTCTGCACAGCTCGGGGATCTAAACTGAGGATTGCTATTACATAAGAACAAAACATATTTTTAAGATGGGGACTGGTCACCTGGAAAGAGGTATGGTTCTGAATAAGTATAGTTCTGATATGATTTAGATTTTCTGAACATTAACACTGGAGAGGAACTCAAAATGAGGAYGTGCGACATTATGGTTGATGAATTTACAAAAAGTTTTTGTGCAGATGATAAACCAGGGGTAAAATGAGATTCTACAGATTGGAAAGACGTGTTTTTGATGCACTCTGCAAAGCTGAAGGGTGAGAATCAAAGTGTGCCTCAGCCTGTGTTCATAGCTGATGTTCCATTTTAGCATGGACCCTGCTCCCCAGACAGAACCTTATGACAGAATTAAAGTTTCAGAACGTTGGGAGGGGAGGCCCTAACCCTGGGTGAGCATCACTGTCACACTCACCTGTCTACTCACCTGCCAGTAAYGATGAGTAGATTAAGATTTTGGAACCTTTGTGTTTAATAGCATCAATTTCCCAGGGACTCACCTTTAGGAACCTAGGTTTAACATTAACAGCTGGCCAAGAACTGTCAATAAATCTATCTTGTAACTTAGGTAATGATCACTTGGAAATACTTACAGGTAGCCTTAGGGTGGGCTCAGGATTAAGGAAGGATACCCTGGAGAACACAAGCCTGTGTTTGCTTCTGCAAACCTCAGGGACAAGAACCAGAGCTGGTGCCATCCCTGCTCCTATTTGAATACTCATTTTTGGTGCATTGGCAATGTTTAAAATGCTTCAAAAKGAAATATTCAAGAACCCCAAGGACTTGAACTTTGCCCAACTTGATGGTGAAGGATRAGTTGTGCATTAATAGCAATTATTCTATGAGAACTTCCTCACTGCAATCTTCAGAAAATTTTTCATACTTGTACTTTTAATTATCTCATAAGAAAATCAGTTTTATAAAAAAGCATACTGCTGAACTGTTTCAATAGTATTGGGGGTCTTCTTTCCATTTTACGAAGTGGACAGTGGATCTAGGTGGCTAGTCCAGAGATCACCACATAAACACATGCACATCACAGGAGCAGTATCCTTTCAGTCAAACAGCAGAAATTATAAACAAGATTTCTGTAATCTAGGCATAGCATCAACCTGGTGAACACTGAGTGTCTTAAACACCTCCTGCCCAAGCTGTTGTTTAATTGCCTCTCCTGCTGTAGAGTTCAGTTTAGATTGTAAATCCTGTGGCATAAACCACACAGAAAAACACACAGTTAYAGTAGCATAAGCAGCAAGTCGCACGTCCTTTTACCATTGTAGAAGATACTTTTCTCTATTGGTTCCATGAACTCCATGCCAAGAACTTGTTCAAGCAGCAACTTATCTTTTACAATATAATCCATTTCTTTATGAACCTATACAAAAAGAAAAGACTTCTGGTTTTAAGATTTCAGAGGAACAATGCTTGTTACAAAGGTGGAGTACAGACCCATCATTTAGAGCTATTCTAAGTGAATAACAAAAAAACATTTGTTGTTAGAAGAGCAGGCTGCACTGCTGGGCAGTACTTTTTTTTTTTTTTTATCTTGAACTAACCAGTGTTGTAGTTGCATAAAGTCTTTAATAACAAATCTTTAAGTACCTACACTTAAAGAGAAATTATAGTCTTTCAGAATAGTAATTTTTCATTTCTACTCATTAAATTTTCCTTAATATATACATGTCAATATACATACGTGATCAATAAATGAACCAAGAAATTTGTTCATGGTGTTGTATGCCTTGATATTTTGTTCAAAAGTATTTGCAGATGAGTCCAACAGTCTAGCAGGACCACGTCTCTGAAATATAACACGACCAAGACTTCAGTGGAAAAAACACACACATTAATTAACATTTACAGAACACAAGTATCTCACCTACCCTTGTTAGGGTTTCATGAATCCTGTCATACTGCAGTCTCATTTTCCTTGAAATGGAAATCTGAAATGTCTGGACATCTGTATTTGGTATCAAACCCCTCTGACTACACAGATTCTCCTATAATTGTAAATTAATATTATTAATATCATTCACATACAGAGCAGAAAAGTCAATATTTTCATTTATCCTTCATGTACATATACTGCTTTACAGCTTTAAATACTTAAATCCACTGCACTTAGAGCAAGATTTCCTTAGGACATGAAATCCTGACCCCTGCTGTCACAAAGCCATATTCCCCGTCTCACTTATGTTCAGTTGATTACATATCTTAAAATATCTTTTGACATTCATTCTCAGGCCATTTGTTTTGTATTCATAGTTTATTTTGTATTTTTCCYGCTTTGTTTAATGCTTTGGATTTTYCACTTTTTCCACRACTTTCTCAAAACTTACTTAACAGATTTCAAAAATCTAATAGATTACAAAACCTCAAGATTTCCATGGGTAAAATATGCTTTTTCCTAAATTACATTAAAATAAGAAATAGGGCAAAAAAAGTAGGAAAAAGAGAAGCAAACAAGCATTTCAAAAATAGTATTTAAAATATTCCTTTGCAATTCAGTGTTTGAGATTCATTTTTTACATGCCTTTTTTTTTTTCTGGTCAGATATCATTAAATTATTGATATCCTTTATCTAGGATATTTGCTTCTTACTACTAGGATGCAAGATAAAATATTTAGTGCAGGTTGCTCCAATRCGGTATCAGATGTTATAATAACATTTACGTAATCTTATTCATTATTCAAATGGTTGGCTGTAAAGCATAGTTATGTCACCAGAGAGCTATATATGAAATATAAAATATTATTATAAAAGTAGATATTTGGTAGGGGGTCTTCATTTCATGAAAGCCCCTTAAAGTGCATCTATCAAATGTTACCACGAGCGTACACAAGACTTCGGTATCCAAAAGATGATACATATACAAGAGAAAAAAATACTAGAAAAACAGGAATTTTTCAGCTATGAGATCATAAGGAAAGATAGTAAGGAGGAAAGGAGGCGAACTAATTACAAGAAGAACTAATAAATCATTTATTTACAGAACAACAGCTGATATTTAAAAAAAAAAGGTAACTCAGTGCAACAAAGTGCACAAGTGTGACCACATATTGCCAAGTTTTTTATGAATAATTAGAACAGATGTAAATTTTACTACTTTTACTTACTGCTTCTCTCTTTAGATTCATACTCATTTCTTCCATATTGGTATCCGCATGTCCATGCACAGAGCGGCCATGGATATAATAACCAAAGCAGCTGTGTGACAGGAGAAACACTGAAATCTAGAAAGCAGGGGGAAGAGAAGAACACTTATTTAGAACAGCATCTTTTCTATTTTTGAACTTCTCAATCCACAGTGGACATCAACAACAGCAGACATACAACAAATACAATTTAGGCAGGTATCAAATACATAAGACAGAAAAACATTTTCTAACTCACATATAAGTTAAATCTATGTTTTACTTGAGACAAACCAGTTTCAGGTTTAGTTCACTAACTGCAAGGATCACTATTAATTCCATGGTGTTGAAAAATTAAAACACTTTTTAAGCAAAGATACTAGCTTTTATTGGATTTAAAAGATACTTCTGTGATGCACAGTACCAGGGACAACTTCAGCTGAGCGATTAGGGGACTGTATGGAATGGAATTTCAAGGAGTATATTACAATGCGATTGTGCCATACAATGTACAAAATTAACTCTCCATTATGGCCTCTGGCCTCACTACCCTGGGTTCAGCCAACAAAACCTAGAAGCTTCATGGAGAAGTAAGAACCAAGGCTAACAGAAGGAGTTAATACCTGTAGTTTTAAAAGTTCTGGCCTAATCACAGAATCACGGGATAGTTGAGGTTGGAAGGGCCCTCTAGAGATCACCCAGTCCAACCCCGTGCTCCAGCAGGGACACCCAGAGCACGGGGCACAGGGCGGCATCCAGGTGGGTTTGGAAGATCTCCAGAGAAGGAGACTCCACAACATCCCCGGGGAAATCTGCCCTGACTGCAGCCTTTTGTTATCCCAGAGTTTCTGTAGCACAAAGCTTGGAGACCCGTGTTTCGACTAGAGAAAGGGGAGCAGTTCAGAGGTAAGTGAAAGTGCAGGAGAAAGGTGGTAACTCTCCAGGAGAGAAAACCGTGCAATGGAGGGGTTGAGGGATAACCAGAAGCTAGGGGCATAAACTGAATGTAAATACATTAATTAAAAGCAAAACAGTTCTGTCTAAACAACAAAAGTACTAAAATGTGGAGGAAAGAACTGTAGTAAATAGTTACATGGCTAATTACATGGCTAATTTTGTCCTAATCTGGTACTGTGTAGTTCTGTATGAGCATATGACTTCAAATAACAATCCGATGACAAAAAGGACATATTGATATCTTTGATTCTAGAATCTTCTCCTGAATGAAGAGAGCCAAAAAAAAAAAAAAAAAAAAAAAAAAAAAAAAAAAAAAAAAAAAAAAAAAAAAAAAAAAAGATTTTGGGTATTAGCTAGTGATCTCTGATTAAAGTAAACAAATGGATCCTATTTAATATTTTTTAAACCATCTTATATCCTATTTAAACTGTCATTACAGAAGTTACATCAAGAAATACTTACATTGCTCATGCAGCACAAATCAATGAATTGTGTAATCTTATCTTCCACAAATCTTTCATAAAACACGGCAAAATATATAATCTGAAATAAAGCAATCTCATTTTACTTTATTAGTTCACCAGACTGGGCTTCATTTTCTGAATTATAATGCAGTAAATTTCAAAGCTTAGCAGCCACATGGCCACATTTCAATAGTGGCCATCTCTGCACTACCCCCAGAAATGGGATTAACACCCTTCCCTTATGAAGCAGAATTCTAGCAATAACCTGCTTTTTGTTCTGAACTTGCTGTTGCTTCAAGGGTATCTGAAACAAAGTAGTTCATAAGTGTTTCTTGTGGAGACTGAAGATTACTATGATATGAAGTTTTGAAGTTCATTCTGAACTTATGAAGATCTCTCGTAACTCAGAACATTCATTTTGAGTTGCAATGAGCCACCGCACCAGCTGGGAGTTAGAAGCTGTAAGTCTAACAGCAGCAAAGCAGGTAAGAACTGACTTAGTGCTCTGTGGAGTAGTGCTGGTGGCCTAAGGATAAATTCCAGCTCCAGGACATGAGCCCTGCCCTGCTGTTTCACCATCTGGAGCCCATGTCACTCACCTGGAGGAAGGCAATGGCCAGCCAGAGCGCCGCCGAGACGCCGAACCTCAGCACGCGGCTCCAGGGAGCCACGTAACCCGCGCTGCTCCGTGTCAGGCTGGAGGAGGAATCCATTAAAGCCAGGTTGGAAAATCCCACCACCTGCAGAAATAGGAAACATGGAGGCAATGGATGGAAATACTTAGGATTCTGTTGTTTCTGTTGTAACAGAAAGCAAAAAAGAAAAAATCAGGAAAAACAGAGCTGACATGCTTGTTATTTAATTTTATTTAAAATTAATTTGTATGTTTTATTTAATAGAGTCCTATTGTGTGATCCAGCATTATTATTTAGAAAAGCATATATTGTACGTGTTATCTGAATGTGATACAGAAACACACATATAAAGGCAAAACTCAGGACAAGTCCACACAATTATATCGACAAACTGTAAAATTCTACAGATAAAATTGCATGGGGATTTAACTCTGCTGGATTTTAGCTTTCTGCTCTGTGTCTTTCTGGGCTGAAGCATATTTTTGATCTTTCAAATGTAAAAAAATGAGGTTTTGCTTTTATCAAATGGAAATATATTTTCCTCTACTGTCTATATAGCTAAAACTATTTTAAATAATTAAAAAAAAAATGGTAAGAGAAAAAATTGGTTATGTTATAATATCAAGAAGAAAACTAGCAGATTTCATTTCCTGCTTTATAAAAGGTCACTGTAACAAATTAGCAGGAAAGAAGCTCCAGTTCAGGTAACATAAGCAAGGCATAAGGCATAAGGGAGCAAGCAGTCAAATAAAGAATTGAGTGTGTACACGAATGAATTAGTTTCGAGTTAAATGAAGTTCATTAGTTAAATGAATTAGCCATTTAGGGTAACATGTTAGTTAAAGAAAGAAAAAAAAAAGACAAAACCAATAAAGGTATCCAAGGAAATTAAAAGTTGTTTATTTTTTTTAAGATTTTTCAAAATCATACCAAAACATGAACTTATTCTAGAGTAAATTCTCTTACTAGAATTTACTTTATTCTAGTAAATTACTAAAGGTAACTTTTTTTTCCAAAAGAATTTACAGTTCCTTCTATTAACATAAGGACTAGCAGAACTAAGAAACACTCTGTTACATTATGGTGGTGAATTATAAAAAATATTATTATTAATAATACCTCCAAAAAAAAAACAACTGCAAGCACTTGAAAGAGGGGATTTATCTTCCTCACTGTCTGAATTTCATTCCATTCGTTTGCTATAAAATATGTCCTCCATATACTCACAGGTGCAGCTGCACTTTTTACAACACCTTCACCTAAAAACAACAAAAATAATTAAGCTCTGAAATTTAATATCCAAGAGTAACAGCAGAGCTGAATCCATGCTGTGTATACAAGTTCAGTTTGAGTTACCTTCAACTGCTTTAAGAACTTTCCCCTTGGGTCGTTCCCAGTCAATAAAGAAAACATCTACAGTAAGTTGTGAAACCAATTTATGTAATAATTGCAATGCCTAAGGATCAAAAAAGAAGTGTAATTTGAACAAGCAAGAGTATATAGGCAAACTAAGTCATTGTAAGTACATGTTCTTCATTAAATACAGTAAAAAATACTCTCGACTATACCTGACACTGCAACATTTTTATTTAATTTTATATACCTTAAAAAAAAATAGGGTTGGAACAATTTTAAATCATATCAAAGATCATGAATGACACTATAATGGGTCAGCTGAATATAGTTAAAATGACTGTTTACCTCTATAAACTAATAACATCCACTGTACAAGATACTTTTTAAAAAAAGTCTAGTGAAAATATAGAGGCATGTGTAAAACATCTCAAATTCCAAAGAAAAAATGCATACCTTCAGACTAAAAGCACATCCCACGTATGTAACAAAATCTTCTTCTTGAGATGGAAGTGGTAAAAAGACAGAGACAAATTGCTGAGCCTATAATTGAGAAGCTATATTGAAACTGCATAGATGGCATATGTAATAACATATTAAGTGCCTAAGAATGAATATCTTCTGGGGAAAATGACCCACGGTTTATCTGTAATTTTTCAAATTTGCAAAAATTTTAAATCATTACTAAGCAAACTGCAAGCACAAGGAAATCTAAGGAAAGTAATAGGCTGAAAACTTAAACACACAGAACAACATGTGTAACTTGCCTCAACTGTCTGACCAGAAAGGCAAAAAAAAAGAAAAAAAAAGACAAAAGAAAATGAATTTTTGTTTTAAAATTTATGCATTATTAGTAAGTATTCATAATAACAAAATCTGAAAAAAGACTTACTTTGAAGAATAGAAGCCAATAAATTCCTGTACCCACTGTGATGACAAAGAAAACATTGGCAAGGTCTCCAGCATAGAACAGTAAGAACTTCAAAACTGTCTGTAATTGTAAAAGAACATTGTTCAAGTCTGTAAAACTAGTTAACTAATGTATACAGTGCACTCCTATTAACTGTTATGCAGCTCATACTAGTAAACTCTATTACTGAAAAGAAGCCCCAACAGAATTTTTCTCACATGTTCATGTATTTATGGTATAATTACTATCTGAAACTCCTATTAGCTGGTATTTGTTCACAGGAGAATTAGTCTGAAAATTAATAAAACTGTATAACTGATCAGATTTGCTCTGTTTAAAAATACTTGAAGCCAAAAGAGGTGACAAAAAACTATTTGTGATCCTAGAACTTCATAGCTCCATGCAGCTAGATATAAACAACTATAAATCATTTCAGCTACCATAAGAAACAAAATAATTACACAATATGATAGCAAAGATCTCCATGGAGATAGGAAAACACATCCTCGCTTAGGTCCCCAGCCCTTTATACCTGCAAGTCAATCATGGAGCTTCCCGTTCGCCTCTTCCAGCCTGCAGTCTTGAGCAGGGACCACAAAACTGCAAGTCCCCCCAACACACCCAGTGCGATCTGGGGAGAAGGAAAAATTATTTGCAGACATTTTTAAAGAGACAAATGTAAGCAAATCATAAATCAACATATTAAAGGACAACTACTTACATCAGTCTGAATCTGAGCCTCTGACTGATTCATCTCATAAATGACCGAGAAGGAAACCTGAATATTAAAATATGAGAAGTAAATATTTGCAGAAATTCTGAAATGCTACAGTGATTACAGTCAGTGGTGTTGTACTACTTTATRTTTGGTGCCAGTCCCCATCTAGGACTACTGCAGAAGTGCAGTGTACACAACAGAACCACACTCAGTGCTGCCAGGTGCTCTGCCACCCTCAAGGCAGGAGGGAACTGAAACCCACACGGGTTTTACCAGGGATATTGCTTGGAATGGACCTCTACCCTGCCCATGTTGGGAGCTACACTTGATTATAACCCTTACAATTGTGCAGACTTTGCTTCAAAAGGTAGTTGTCATTTTTTTTTTAAGAGTAATTTCCAGTAAATATAATTACACTAATTTTTGATTAAAATACTGCTACTTTCAGATCACTGCCCTGGTTATTTTCTGTGCACATATTTTTAAATTTGCACTCCTCCAGTTTAACTTATCATTACACCACCGATTGTAAAATTCTAGGTATTTTAATTTAAGAAGGACTCAAATAAGATCCATTTAAAAGAAAATACTTCGACAGCTTTGCTTTAAAAGCTTTAAGTTTTAGTGAAAATTTCCAACCTCTAAATTGTGTAGAACTAGAAACTGCTTATTTCATTTCACACTGAGAAAAACAGTCCTCTTAACTAGAATTCTAACAGAACTAAAAGCACCATGAACAATTCTGATCAATTAAAAATAGCACAAACTCCTCACCGTCACACTCTGGGTGTCAGGGTTTTGGATAAGCACATCCGTGTAAGCAACTGTAATTAGTGGTGGGTAGATAGTTCCCTTCTGAGTAGGTGTTGCCAGACGAACACTGCAGAAATAAAAGCAGAATATTATTTTTAACCTCCAAAATGGATGAGCTGCTTGGAAAGTATTGATTGAAGCTTGTACAAACAGGAAAATTCGAAACAACAAAACAACATAATTGATAAAATGTGAATTACAAACCCAATGACAAGGCAATTCATAGTTTAAAGTGACTGGACTATAAAAGGCATAAATAAAAACACATAAAAGAAAATCTAGAGAGAATTACTCATTTGTAAATAAATATCTTAAATCACTCTTTATCTGTATTTCCCATGACAATAGCTGCAACTGAAGTCAATTCCAAAAGCTGCTTTTTCTCAAAATATTACAGAATTACCTTTTCTATGCTTATTTTGAATCTCTGGCATTATTCTTTTTTTTCAAGGGGTTCTCCTAACATACCTGATTGATCCTTATTTTTCAAAATAATATAACGTACAATTCTAAATAAGTAGAGTACATGAAATGAATCCTAGGGACAATTACCTACATGCCCCAGCAGTCCTTGCTACTCCTAACTAATATATTGTCAAGAACTGCAGTAAGTACAAGAGGGATCTCAACTTTATTCAGTCATCTCTGAAAAATGCATTACACTACAAAGGAAAATGGTTCTTCCAAATCATGTTCTAACTGAAATAGAGAAATGGTAATGACTCCCAGAGGCAGTCTCACAAGTGCAGTTATATGACTACAAGACTATTAGATTGTAGGACAGTATTTATAAGCAATAGCTTGTAAAAATGCTGCAAAAGAAGAACATGGAGCATGAAATAACATTCCTCCATAGTTAGTGACAGACACATTGGAAAGAGGAGGCCTTAGGTCTTAGAAATCACCTGCTTCCAAAAGCTGCCTGCTAACTTTCATGCACATGTAGTCCTCTTGAACAGGAAGTAACCACAGCAATTCTAAACCCCTCAAATCAAGGTTATGTATTTTCAATTAATCATCAAAACAACCTGTTCCTACTCTAAGTATGCAATAAAAAAAGCACAGAATGTATTAGGAACAGCACAATAACACACATTTCCTTTAAGATGCAATAAAATGTAGATTACAGAATCACACAGAACCACAGGATAGTTAGAGTTGGAAGGGACCTCTAGAGGTCATCTAGTCCAACTCCCCTGCTCGAGCAGGGACACAACAAGATTGACTTTATTTTATCTGTACCACCATATATGGTATGTATTTATTTACCTTATTGTTATTTTGCTAGCAATTCGAATTATTCTTGGCAATTTTCCCAAGTCATTATCCTTTCCACTTAGTGCATCCACCAGAAAAAGTCGACGCGTCAAAAGCCAGTTGTTCATATTGCTGCCTTGGAAAAAATATGGTAGTCATGCAATATTTATAAAATGTAATTTAGAGACAAAAGGAAAGAAAACTAATTAAAGTGATAAATATTACTTAAATATACTTTCAAGATTAAATAGTAAATATTCTTACCTTGATTCACAAACATTTCATTGTATTGAAGATTCAAGTTTAAAACTGGCACATCCCAAAGATACTGCTTTCCCTCATCATCATTATATTGAAGGAATGTGTCATAAAAGACTGGGTTAGCAAAATCCACTAAAATCTTTGAAATTGGAATTTTGCACTAGAGGAAAATAAAATAATAGCATAAAAAGTTGCAGATTCTTCCCCATAAATATATTGTAACACCTATCCCATATACTTTGTAAAAGTCAAAGCATTCCAGCTATGTCTAAGCAAATAATAATTAGTCCTTATACTACACAAACCTCTTGGAAATACCACAATTGACCAGAGTGACTAACAGAGAATTTAAATTTGCTATCATTCTTTCAAAAGGAAAAGGATTAGGAATTAGGATCAGGAAAACATATTCTAGGAAACTTCAGAGACATATAATTTGAAACAGCATAAATACTAAAGTCAAGAAATTAGAAATGAAGTTGGATAGTGAACTACCATGCAATCCTTCAACAGTCATATGACATTTCAATTAGACTTTCCTGAAAGCTGTAGGGGGAAAAAAGAGTGAGGTATATAGGTCATGAAAATAATTATATTTTTAAAAATTAGTAAATTAATATTTACAGGTGTTGATTTTAAACTCAGGAGTAATATATCAATACAGTAAATATAAAAGTTTTGGGGAAAAAAACAAAAAGAATTAACCAAACTGGACCAGTTCAATGATTCAAAGAGAAAATAAATTTGTCGTCTGCAGTACATATATGGACATATATGTACATATATGGACCAGAGAATTTTATCACTTACTATGATAAATACTTAAAGAATAAAAATATTTAAATATTTGGCAAAATTATCCAAAAACCAGTGTAGTTTACAAGGACTAAAGCTTTGACAGCTATTACACAACACAGCATTCACAACATCCAAACAGCAGTTAATATATTTTTACAATGCAACACCTAGGGGAGGAGGTTTGAACGTAAACATGCTAATAAATAACATTAAGGGATAAATAAATAGATGCTGTGCACACATGCAGAATGTAGAGAGTCTTATACAAATAAGATAGCTGTTCTCCCACCCCCAGTTTTAACACATAACTGCAAAACCTTAATGCTGCCACAGCCGTGTCCATGGCTCACTGACAGTGGCATATAAGTAAAAAAAGCTCAAGTTTTAGTACAGCAGGGACAGTTCAAACTGCCCTGTCCCCTCTGGCTCTGCTGGTGTTTGGTAAGCAGAGCTTCCAATACAACTTTTCCCATAGTTASGATAGTAAAGTAATCTCCTCCTCTCCCCTAAAATCTGTTGGRCTAAAACTTGTAGGAACTTCATTCTTGTGAAGATGTCAGTCTCTTTACTCAATTTGCTGAAATTAGGGAATATATTAAGGAGTTAACAGGCATGGCAGGATGAATAGGTCTTATATCTTGTTTCTGTATGAACTTTGGTCAAAGATGGAGACTGGAAAATTCAAAGTTGTAATACTGCATGCRACTGTCAGAATTAAGGCATTACATAAGCTACACTGACGACTCAATCACTGATGACCTGTAAAGTAACTTAATTCGAAATTCACTGTAACATCATCTCATACTTACATTTTGTTCATAAGTTGTTCCGAACACATAGGCTGCATTCAGTTTAGTTTGGGTATCAGGACAAAGCTGAACAAAACATATTAATAATCAGGTTAATTCACAGGTATAATTTTCTCACAGTGTGAAGTATTCATAGGTACCATAGTCAGTTTATGTACCTATAGTTCCAATAAAAGATACACTGAATTTTATTCCATTTTGTTTTTAAGAAGAGATGAATTGATTTTGAAGAGAAAACATAGTTATTTGCCATAATAATACTATTGCTCTTAAAATGTTGTTTTAGTTTGGTGACACTTGCATAGTACTTTATAGTTCTATCACCGAGCTTCTTAAAACATGTGGAATGGAGCATCTAACAAGAATAGCCTATTTGGGGAATGAATATTAAATRCACAATACTGTCCTGCCCCAAGCTTCATTATTGGCTTTTGTTAAACAGAAGAATCCCATGGAAGAAGAACTCTGCATCCACCTTTGCTCTTTCAAGCTAATATTTGCAGAATAACAAAATTATCATGGAAATAGATTTTTTTTTTCTTTTTCAGTAAGACTTTTTCTTCGGTAAAAAAACAGCTTATTCCAACACGAACTGTAAAAACAGACCAAATTCCAACTGAGCACTGCACTTGGTGGAGGGGAAGATATTTTTTCCAAAATGAAAACCAAGTCTAAGATTATATAAAACACAATGCAATTGTGCACAGTGGAAATCTTACAATGACAATGACAAGAAATTCCAGTGCATAATGTTGCAATTAAGCAGAGGTTGCTTTAGCACTGCAACATCTTATTGTTGTGCAYCATCTTTTACATTTAAAAAGGGCCTTTAAAATTTTAAAAAGAAGAGCTATTCCTTTTGCATTGATTTCTGATAGCTACTAAAAACTCTCCGTTTGGGAAATTAATGTCCAAATATAGCTTTAACATCTACACAGAACATACCATTTTCTATGTATAGCAACAGGCTTAATAACATGTTTCATACAGCACTAGTTTTCCTTTAAATTTGGGAGGCAGGTGCAAGGCAGTTCATCCTARGACAACACTGAAACAACCAGCAGTCACTACTGTTTCCTGAAACCTCCATAGACACTATGACGTGTGAGTAGTTTCCAAGCTCCGAGACCCAAGGAGCCTAGAAAGGGGACAGACAATTCCTAACTGTTGTCGCCAGTATTCTTGCTGACTGCCTAGGGGATTGCTGAGAGTGCCTAGATCATCTCTGACTGCGACAGTCTGTGACATGTTTCACAGTTGCCAATTTCTGCTGAACAGTTGGGCTAATGACTATTGCATTTTTTTAAACCTGCATCTTTGCTGCCCTTCTTACGCCCTATACAGGATGTAACTGCTGAAGAGTAAGGTACGTGAGCCACTGAAATGCAACAGTAGTGTCCAGGAGTACCGGGTAGCTTATTACCAGTGTTCCTCCTTTCTAAAGTCTCCAGCAAATTTTACAACTTCATGCTGTAATCAAGCCAGGCAGATACTAGCTAGAGAATATATTTCATATTTAAAAGCCAAACAAACACAACAACAACAAAAAAAAAGGAAAAATAGAAGGAGTTGATAAATCAGTTTTTCTATTTCTCTTGTTGGTAACATAATTACTGCTGTACTTGGCGTCCTCATGATGTGTGAGGAGCACAGGTAGCAGTATCCTCCCAAAATCTTCTGTAGAAGTACAGAGCTAAATTAAGGATGTTGGGCCTGAGAGCTAAAGAATGCACTTTCTTCATCAACAAAAAGAAGGCTAGTAATAAATCATGTACACAGGTAACTGTATGCTGAATGGAAGAAAGAGGTAGTAGCTGAGATTGGTTCTAAATGATTACTGGTGTTTTCTAGAGCTTTCCAGTATTTAAAATTTGTATTAGCGAAAAGAATGAGGGTGATATTGCTGAAYTTCTAGATGTGATTAGTTAGAGGTATTATCCTGAGCAAGAATCAAAGGGTATGTTCCCTAATCTAGTTCTGTGTTTATATTAAGGTTGAACTGTCACTACTGTAGTTATCAAACTCTTGGCTGTTGTATTAACTTGACTAAAGGCAACCAAAACATGACCATGTCAAGAGAAGGCAGYTAAAAACCTAATGTACCTGTAAGACTCCTCCTTCCAAACTCTGCCACTTAAGAAAGTTTCCTTCTGCATCAAAGGAGGCTGCAATAAATTGCAGTTTTATATCCTGATGACAAAAAAAAAMACACACAAAAAAAAAAACAAGCAAAATCACCATAAAGCAGATAGATACATTCTAGGGACAAAGGTCTTAGCATGTGATGCTTCCCTAGAACTTTCAGCATAATGTTTCATTTTTACTCTTTGATTGTATGTATTTTAATACTAGTTCTGGTAGTTTACTGTTGTTAAAATACTTTTCAATTCTTCTCTAGCTTCACTGAAAATTGATATTAAATTTGGGGGATGGAGTGATAGACTGAGTCTATCTCTGATACAACTCAGCCTGTAAAGATTTGCAACAGAATTATTAAAGTTGGTCCGAATGAAGAAGTATGGATGGAAATGTGTGKATGCATCAGAAGAAACAGAAGGCAAAGGGTTAAACAGATGGCCTGTACTGGTAACAAAGAACACTGTGTCCATCAGTTAAGCTCAAGAATGTGGTGTGACACCACCACAGCACAAACAACTTGTCAGCACAGGACCCTGTACCCAGACACCAAGGAGATGGCAGTAAAGTTACAGCATGTCACGAATATGACTTGTTTTCTGTTAGCTCTCCAGGAAAACAGAGAGTAGCTACAAAGATGGTGAAAGGTGAAAAGCAGCAGCTTTCCTGAAGATTTATGTAAAATGAAGTAAGCAAGATTCTGAAGCACAACTCAATACTAAAGCAACTATTAACTCCCAAAGGTCAAAAAAGATCTACCCAAATAAAAGTTCATGATTGTCAATTGAGAAGAACCCCCAAGGGACATAATAACGATTTAATAAGTGGTATTTTTGATTCCCTGTATCACACACAACTGATCCTGGCCACAGCACTTAGGCATGTATCTCTTGGCCTCTGGAATAAAGGGGTGTTGAGTATTAACAAATGAAATCTATGATGATTAACAAATGAAATCTATATAATGCTAGTCAGTCAAATCAGCTTTCTTAGGRATTTTATATTTAATTACCACCTTCCCCTTCCTAAAAAACTCACAATGACTTTTTTTACACTAATTTCCTAACATTTATCTTTAGTAGAGTTGTATTTGCAATACACCTAACCCTTTTTCATATTATCATGTCCCCTTCCTCTCTCTGATTCCCCATAATGCTGCTATTCAAAACCTACCTTATTTGCTCCTTTAAAACTGAAGCGTGTAGGAAAATGTGTCTCGAGCACCTGAGATGCTAATCCTGGCTGGTCACCGTAATAAAGCCATGGCAGATTATGTCTCCTAAAAACAGTTACAATTTGTTTTCTCTACAGGAATATAATGCTTTATATGTTTTACATTAAAGAACATTCAGAATACTAATTTCTATGAGACATTTTTTCTTACGGAGTGCTAAAATGGTAACTTACCAGAAGGATATTGAATGAACAATGCCTAGCCTTGCCGTGTTGGCATAAATATACTGAAACAAACCACAGGCATCAGTATTTGAGGAAGTTAATGAGTTCATATTCATCACACACATATTTCCAAGAGCTTGGCACGCTGTTAGATTGGAGTACAGCTGCAGTAGAGAAATACAAAAATGAATACAAGTATTAGCACAAACTTCCTTTTGTTGAGACAGTTATAAAATTGACATGAACTTTAGTGAGTCATTTGCAAACCCTTGATTTTACGTGAAGATGATTTGTTTTGTTGACACACAATATTCTCCTCCAGCTACTCAGGTTCTGCATTTTTTTCAGACCCGGGGATGGCAGTTTGAAATCAATACTTCCACTTTTACAATACCTGAGACACCTTGACTTTCAGAATTTATTTTAGTTACAAACGCTAATAGTATGATGTGACAGAAATGTCAAAATCTGCTTTTAAAAAGTGAAGACTCAAAACCTTTACACTTTCCAGGTTGTATGGCAAAGATGACTCATCAAAGATCTAAGCTGACAGTTTACTACAGTTGTCTACAGAGCAAATATTAACTTGCCATCATCTACAGCCTTTGTGCGGCTCAACCTCGCTGTTTAGTGCRCATGCATCAAACAGAGCAAAGCCAAAAACGATGGGTCTCTGTTTGTTCTTTTCTAACTTGGAACATAATGATGAATTTAAAGTCCCAAACCAGCTGCCAATCAATACTGAATATATGAAAAAATAATTTTAAAATTAACCCCTTACCCAATATATTCAACAGTTCACCTAACTACTGACTCCTGCAGCGTTTTGTTTTTAAAACAGCAGCTCGTGGGACTTAAAATCATTCCAATTAAAACTTCTGATTTATTTCTTCTAGTCGTGTACATGGTGTTCCACAAAACCCACAACCTTATGGATCTAGAAGTCACACAATGTTCTCTGTAGCATGCATTCACCTTGTGAAGTTTGCAATTGTAAAGACTTGCACTAACACCAGCAGTGTCCTATATTCTTTCTAAACATTCTGTATATGTATTATTTTCTTACAGTCCATCATCATATTAAAAGAAGATAAATTCCACTGATGAAAGCCCCATGCTGGAGGAATTTGAAGATTTAACACAAGAGTATTGCTTTTATAGAAACTGCAAACCCATTAAAAACTTACCCAACAGGCAGAGGCTGAGGCTTGTAGGTTTTTCAGAAACCATGCTGATATCAGTGTTATACCCTGGAAATAAAAACTGTTTCATTGTCTTTGTTTAGAACAATGTACTCAATGTGTAGTAAAAACAATGTCAGGTGCAACTATTTTTTTCAGTTTTTATAACTACTTATATTTGGGCTAAACTTACGAAACTAAGCTAAATTTATGAAATAGCTTTCACAATTACAAGACGTTTTTTCAATAAGATAATATTTAGAAGGCTAGAGATTTTCAGAAAGCAAGACAAATATTTGGTTTGAGGAAAAGCAGATTCCTGGCCTTTTTTTTTTTTTTTTTTTTATTATTGATATAGAGCAAGACTGTGATGTATTTCCTGTCCATATTTTGCCACACCTACACAGCCCAATAACTTTTTTTCCCCAAGTATGAAGGCTCGGGAGTGGATAAAGTTGGAGATCCTCATGCACATGACCTCCACACAGCCTCACAAAGGAGTGAGACAAACATTAAACCCTTTCAGTGTTTGATTCCTGNACAAGAAGACTCTAACTCATTTAACAACCAACTACATGCAAAGTTGCTTTTAGCAACATACTTCGAAGACTTGTTAAAAATAAAAAAATAAAAACAAACAAACAAAAAAGACAGCTTGATAATGCTTTAGAATAAAAAGACTTTCCAAAATAAACACACTTACTATCTGTCCGAAACGAACAGTTGCAATTCCCTTTGGGGGCAAGTTTTCACTAGCACTGAAACATAATCCYCCAGTCTGAAAAAGAGAAAAAGATCTGTTATACTTAAGATCTAAGTATATATACTAAGTATATATACACACTAAGTATATATACTGTCTATACTAAGATCTATTGTACTTACTAAAATATTAGGGCTGCTGCAGTCACAAGACTTGCTTGCATTGATGAATGTTTGTTCACATCTTATACACCTACAGATCACAAGCACAAAGAAGGCATTTAAATTGTAGGTAAGGATGCGATTTAATAGTTAATAAAAACAGATTACAAAGTCCATCTTTCAGATAGGAAAGGTCTGGTAATACAGTGAGAAAAATCCATAGTTTGAACTGAAATCCAAAAAACAACATTACCAAATTATTCCCATTGTCAGTCAAGGAGCAAGAAATATAATAGTTAATTATCAAAATAAAATATATATTTGTTTCCAATCCAAAATCTATGTATAGTCAGACTGAAGCAAAGAAATATATAGTCATATAAAGACTTAAGTGATCTCAATGATTTTAACRTGAGCTTTCAACTCCTGGTTTTTAAAACTAAGCATTAAAAATGTATTCAATAGATGCAAAAGAAAATATTTTTATTAGTCAGAAATATTTATATTTTGCCYCATAGATACAGGTTGTTTCATGAACATTTAAATATCAGATCATGACAAATTCAGATTTATCAGTGTAGAAGGAGCAAGAATACTCACCTATTTCCTAGGGCATCTGAAGCAGAGAATGAATGGTCACTTCCATTACACTGTAYACATAAGGCTTCATTTAGCAAAATGCCATCTATACTTCTTTCCACTAAGCAGAAAAGAAAAGCAATTGATAAAACAGCATGACATGCGCTACGTCTTGCAGGTGAAAAACAGTGCCCAAGAAAAAAGAAACTACATAGATCTTAGAAATAAATGCAAATAAAAAAACCCCAAAAAACTAGAGCTTGCAAGTAGCTCTGCAAGTAACAACTTGCAAATAACATCCACTACAAATGCACATGAATATACGTATAAAAGATATGTTACTTATATTTATGCTTATGCAGTTTAGTCCTAATGAAGAAGCAAAATTTGCATGTTTCTTACCTAGTATTTCATTATCAAGGCATCTGCATTTTCCTTCTGGAGTTAGGCCTTTTGGACAAGTAATACAATTCCACCCATCTTTAGTAACTCCACTCTAAAATAAAGGTTAAAATTATTACACAAGTACCTTTGCAAAATGGCTGATGCATATGTTATTTACTAGAAAATGTGTTTATATATACATCATTAGTAACATTCATGAAGCTTTAAGGCCAAATTGGAAAAAAATGTTGGGAAGAGAGAATGAAAAGGATGTTCTTAAGTTATTCTAAAAACATGAACTAACATCCATTGTGAAGATAAGAGTTGGTTAAAGGTGCTAGGTTTATGAAAGAGAGATTCTGCATTAAAAAAAATCAATAAATCTAGCAATGCAGAAAAAGTCATATTTATCTACACATAAACAGGCGAAATGGAAATGGCAGAGTCTTAAGTCAAGCTATAGCAATTCATACAGTCACAGGGCATCTTGCACGGATTCAAAGAGCTCACACACACATACGCACACACACACACATCCCACAAGTAGCTGCACTAACAGATGAAAAATGAGGAGGGAGATGAAAATAATGGAACATGTATAGGAATAGCACAGATGTTATTCCTTTCTCCCCTATCCTCTTTTTATCTTTGCACGAGCTTTGTCTTAGGATCAAAGATGACTGACAGCATTACAGGAGAAAGAAAGAAGCAGTAGCAAGATCAATCTGGCAGTGGATATCCCTCCAAGACTTTCTCAGTTCGCAAGAAGAAGTTGAAAAGGAGAGGGAAATCAGTTGCATTGCCAAGTTAACCATTAAACACCTCATCTGCCCAACCAGGGTAGTGTCTTGAGAGTTGGAGTTAGTTTATTTAACTTATTGGAGTTATTGGTAATTAAGTTTGGTGCTTGTGGCTCGATGCTGTGAATACTGCTGTGAATACTGCTCAAAATTTAAGCTTACTTTGTCAAGACAGCCAGAAAACTACAAAAGTATGTGCAACTGAGAATTCAAAATTAAAACATTTATAATAATCTTACTTTGCCCCAAAGCACAATTTTAGAGTTAAAAAGTGTCTCAGAAACAGTAAGAGGAAAATAAACACTACAGAAAAAAAAAACGGTCTTCAAGGTAAAAAATCAAAAGACTGTTTATCAAATTCATCTTAAATTAATGAAAAATAACACACAGATAGATGGAAATTTAACTCTGTGAAATACTATGAAATACTCACCATGTTTTCTGGGCATTTTTCACAAGTAACAGATGGCCCACCATTATTAGAAACCATCCTGAACCCTGGCTGACAGACACATGAAAGACCTGCAAAAAATAACTCACTTTTAATCTGTGTAAATACAAGTGGTAGAAAAGTTACCTGGGGCGTGAGCGTTTGCGTTCTACCTTCAACTTCAACAGCTGGTGTTAAAAGCTATTCAAAGAGTTTAAAACCATACATCAGGATCACAGTTTCCAATGAGTAACAGAACAGACCTAGTGTTTATTATTAAAATAAACACAATTATTGTGGCACACCAAAGCAGTTGGTGTTTTTTCCATGTGTTTTTTTTCTCTCAGCATACTGTGTGGCCCTGTCTCTGTACGTTTAAATACGTTTTACTAATACGTAGAATCAATTCTGGTTTATAGTGTGTGTTTACCATTGTTTAGAGTCATGTGCATATACATGTAATATTTTGTGAAAGGTTTTAAAGCATCAGGAGTATCCTTATGAGGCAGTTTTACTGAAACACTGTCAGCCAAAATGATCAACTGTTCAGTCAGGTGGCACCAAATGCAGTTATCCACAAAGAAGAAAAAGCCCAGAGGGTATAAATCAATAAAGAGACTTGTTGTGAGATTCACTGTGATAATACATAACTCTTTTAGGCATCTGGCCTGGAAGCAGAATACACGGCCACGAACTGGCCATTGAGGTTCCCAATTCATGGGCAGACTCATGCAATTCCAGGTGGGAATGAGAGGGGATACAAGCACCTGACTGAGCAAAGGCTACCTAAACTGCTGCAAGAAGATGCTGCTGAGTCTAAATCCTTGAATGGGAGGCACTTATACGTGTCCTTGAAGCCCTGAGCTATCACAAAGGATATCGTACCCTCGTGTCTCTCACGCAAAGCGAGCATCAACCCTGCATTTTTCGCTTAGCACCATCACTGGGTTGTGTGCCCCAAATCCCCACGGGGGACTAGGATGGCTCTGTGCACAACCCAGAGGCCTCTGATATTGAAGATCTCAGACATCTTGAGTTTTGATGAGAAATTTCAAGTTCTGGAAGTGCTAAAGAACAGAAACGTGGGAAAGAACTAGAGAAAATGTCCATATATAAGACTCTTGGATATAYAGCATAACTGAGGTACCGTATTTGCACTACAGGCTCTTTTGTCTTTTAGGCAGTCTGTATCTTTCCCCTGCCTTTTCAGCCGCGCTCCCGCGCACGAGTGTCTCGCAAACCGAAGGAACCCCAGGCAGACCCCGGGGTTGCGCCCGCCGCCGCCGCG